TGGCCATTCCTCGTAGAAGTCATGAAGAAGATGGGTTTTGGTGTAATTTGGTGCGACATAATTTGTGGACTCCTAGCATCTTCATCAACACAGGTCATAGTAAATGGTGTCCCCGGTGAGATAATTTCTCACAGGCGAGGACTACGACAAGGTGATCCATTGTCTCCCATGCTCTTTATATTGGTGATGGATGTACTTGCTCGTATGGTGGCAAAGGCCTCAACCGAGGGACTTCTGCAGGCCCTTGCAACTCGGGCTTTGTCTCATCAGATTTCCTTGTACGCGGATGATGTTGTTTTATTCCTTCGACCCACTTCCAGTGACATCAATTTGATCCTAGACATTCTGCAACTTTTTGGTGAAGCATCTGGTCTTAAAACCAATTTACAGAAAAGCAGTGCTTATCCCATCCAATGCTCAGAGACAGATATTATGGTGCTGCAAGATAGCTTGCCGTGTGCAATTCTGGATTTCCCATGCAAGTATCTTGGTATACCCTTGTCTATGCATAAATTAACTAGAGCACAAATCCAGCCGATAATTGACAGAATTGCAGACTTGCTACCTGGCTGGAAAGTAGACTTGATCTCTCGAGCTGGGAGAAGAATACTGGTCCAATTTGTACTCACATCAACCTTGGTCTATTTGGCAATGGCCCTGGACCTTCCAGCATGGGCTCTAAAGGCAATAGATAAAATAAGAAGGGGATTTCTCTGGAAGGGACGCAAAGATGTGAAAGGTGGGCATTGTCTTGTGGCATGGCACAAGGTTTGCCGACCACCAGATCTTGGAGGGCTTGGAATCTCTGATTTGCAAAGGCTAGGATGGGCACTTAGAATGAGATGGTTGTGGCTACAGAAAACTGAGCCCAATAAACCATGGTCGGTCTTTCCTATACAGGTTCATCATTCAGTAAGAGCTCTCTTCTCTACGGCAATCATTCCAGAGGTGGGTGATGGTGCTCGCACATTATTCTGGAAAGATAGATGGATCAATGGACAACAAGTGGCTGACCTTGCTCCACAAATTTTTGCCATTGTTAGCAAAAGAAGAGCTAATAAGAGGACTGTCCTGGAAGCCCTTACTAACCATGGTTGGATTGCGGATATCCAAGGAGCTCATACTGTGGGAATCATCATTGAATTCTTAGCGCTATGGGATATTCTCTCGGAGGTGGTTCTGTAGCCTGGAGTGGAGGATGCTCATATTTGGCGTCTATCGACATCAGGACAATATTCGGCAAAATCTGCATATGAGGGTTTCTTCATTGGCTCCACTGTATTCAGGCCTCGGGAGCGTATTTGGAAAACTTGGGCCCCAGGAAAATGCCGCTTCTTTATGTGGTTGGTAGCACACAACAAATGTTGGACAGCAGACAGGCTGGCACGCCGAGGTCTCCCACATCCTGCTCGCTGCCCCCACTGTGAACAAGAAGAAGAAACTATCAATCATCTACTAGTCTCATGTGTGTTTGCACGCGAATTTTGGTTTGTTTTGCTGCGAAGAGTGGGTCTACAGGCCCTTTCGCCACAAGATGAACCCTCCTTCGATGATTGGTGGGCCAAAGCAGAGTCTAGAATGGATGGTTCACACAAAAAAGGACTCAACTCGCTTATCATCCTTGGTGCATGGACAATTTGGAACCATCGCAACCGGTGTGTTTTCGATGGGACTCCTCCTAGCCTGGCTGGAGCATTGCTGCTCGCAAGTGAGGAACAGCGTTTCTGGAAGCTTGCAAAGGCTCAGGGAAGCTCCTTCCCTTCTCTTGAGCCTGTAGATAGCCAGTAGGATCCTTTTGTGGAGGTGAAGTCGTTTCCTATATTAGTAAAAGGCGCGTGTGTTTGTCTAAGAGCTTAGGAGTGTGAGTGTGTGTTGTAAGGGCTCTTGCCCCCCTTTTTTTTCTTCTTAATATAAAGATACGCAGTTCTCCTGCGTGTTCGAGAAAAAAGGGAACTAATAATCCATATTTCTCTTATTCAATCTTAATAATTCATCCTTAATGCGCGTGATTTTCCATTCTGAAATTTTGGATGTGAGGGTTTTGCATGCTTTCCTTATTCATGATTTTCTTGGACAACATAACCTTGTTTTATATATTGCTTTGAATGCCAGATGCAGTAAACTGAAATTTGCTGAACAATGCACAATCATATAAGAAGCAAGTGAAATATCAGAGTCATGCAACCTTTTTTATAAGATCTGCTACAATCTCACAATATTATCCCTACACATTTCTAGAATTGTACTCCCTCCATTCCAAATTATAAAATGTTTTGGCTTTTCTAGATACATAACTTTTGCTATGCACTTAGATGTCTAGATACATAGTAAAAGCAATATTCTTGAAAAGCCAGAATGTCTTATAATTTGGAATGGAGGGAGTATTTTACATTGATCCACAATTTGCTGTCTTGAAGTCTAAACACTATATTGTTCTAGGTAGTAATTATTATTTTAGTTTTACAAAAATTAATGTTCATAATTAAAGTTATCTTCAAATCTGATTCCAGTATGCTCTGTGTCAACCTTACATTACTATATCCCAACACATTCCTAATATTGTATTTTTACATTGATACACAATCTGCTGTCATTGTTTCAAGTAATGATTATTCTTGTACTACAAAAATAGTGTTTGCAGACTTTGAATCCGCGAACGGGTTTGTAGCCTAGTTGGTCACAGAGGCCTCAATAGCACCTCAGGTCCTGGGTTCAAATCCGCGTGGGAGCGAATTTAAACAGGACTAGGTTACACCCCTCGTCGGCTGTGTTCCTGAGTTACACGTGTAACCACTTGAGCCACTTTCAGCGAGATGCACATGGCCGCAGGCATATGTCCTGGGCGTTTGGTGCCACGTCCTGGGCAGCCAGCCTTCCGGTTGTTTCTCAGCTTGTGTGCTTGAAGTTTCTTCTTAATGCAATGTCGCCGGGGCGGTCTTTCCCCTGCAGTTTGAGTTTTTTTAATTATCTTTGAATCCCATTTAAGTTCCGTGTATAGCTGTCTCTGTTTGATAACTTATAATGCAATGAGCTAATTCACTAACTGAACATGATGCAATAAGTCATGTAGATTAGGGAATGCATGTTTATAGGACTAGGGGTCCTACCGGAGTTGCTGCGGAGGTTGTAGGGATGGAAGAGCGGAGGGCGAGGGCCAGGGAAACGGCGGCGGCGTGTTGGCGCCGTGATGGGTCACGGCGCTAGAGAAGGAGGGGTGGCTAGGGCTTCTGAGGAAGCCGAGCAACTAATATTGTTGCTTGCTTAATTCCATCAATAATGTTTACAAGATATATATATCCCCTCTATGAGACCTATTTTAAGAAATAAATAACCTATTTGGGGAAAATAGAAAATAATAAGATAACAAGGATAACTGGGCTATTAGCCCATCTAATCTAGGCGCCACCTAGCCATCTGTTGTGCGCCGGCGCCTGGTATACTGGACACCGATCATAACACATGTAGACTACTTTTGGGTCAGAGGAAGAGGGAATGTGCTGTAACAATGATATTTTTTAAGTCAAAAGTAATTTCTATTCTGTGTCCCTACAACTACAAGAGCTTCATCTCTTGTTTACTTGCAAGGAATAGGATGCAAATGCTTCTCAACTTGATTATGGACACTTTTTGAGGGCCGTCAAGTACAAGTTTTCCATTTTGGTTGCACTGAATATCTAATGAATTAATGCACTTGCTTCTCCACCGAATTGGATCTTCATTCCCATAGGAAACCTTGATTTTTGTTTGTGCCCAGGTAACATGTACAAAGGCAATGTTGAAAATGCATCATGGCCAATTTTCAGTCTAGTCATGTCAAGGTTATAAAATACACCATTGACCTTTTAGTTGATTATGGATGACATTATGTTCTCATATTTTTAGAAGTTTAAATAGGTAATCATATGTAGATTTTATTAGGATGATTCTGTTTGACACCTTTACATTGGTTTTGTATTTTGATTACATTGAATAGTTTTTGGAAAGTTGACGTTTGATAAGTTTATATGAATAGAAACTTTATTATAGTATAATCTCTAGTGCTGCATCTGCATAAACTCAAGGGCTTGTTGTGGAGCCTAGTAAAAGATCACATGCGCTACTAGTCTGTACATTCATTAGATTCTTCTTTGAATAGCAGAAAACTGTAATTTTGTTGCTACATTTGTTAGACAACAACTCAAGCGGAAAACTTCACTCTTTGATCAATTCCTTATATTGTACAACTCCTCATGTGATGATACTGTGCTGTCATCTATTCATTATCCTGCAGTTCAGCCTTATCCATTTTCTGAGACTGTCAGTGATCAGTCATATCTTACTTTCAATCGCTGTGTGTTTGATGGGATTCAACCGAGCCTAAATAGTGTTCTGGTTTCAGTAAAAGATGAGTTTCTCCTGTGGAGTTTGGCCGGAGCTCGGGGAATATCCAATCTCCTTGCTCTAGAGCCAGCTAATGTGTGAGTTCCTCTCTAGTGGTCTTGGGTCAAGTTTGAATTTGAGAGAGGTACAATATTAGATGTAAAAGGGTGTGTGTAGGTGTGTGGCTGTATGGGGTTTCTAAATCCACTCCTTTATTCTTCTTAATATAATGATACGCAGCTCTCCTGCGTGTTCAAGAAAAAAAAATATCTTACTTTCAATGGCATTTTGAGTTTAGACTTCTGTTTCTGTCATTTATATTTCTCTGACAAGTTGAACAAGATAATACAAGATTTTCTGTTTCTTGGCACCCTTCCCTTGTCTGAGGACCACCCATATTGGTATCTTAGGATTTCATTTTCTATTTTGGTTACCTTTCCCTAATTTTCCATCTTGAATGGGAGACAGAGATATTAAACATAGGGTTGTTCAAGCAATGAGCTTAACCTTTCTATGATTTGTTGTTCTGCCCCATGTTTTCTTGAATTTATTTATTCAACTTGGCATATTTGTGTAGTTTTCTGTAACCATTTGTTAATTTGGGTTAACCACTTATTGACAACTCTTTATTCATTTGGCAGGAGAACTTTGGTTGTTGAGGAGATCTTAACGATAGATATAAAACCTGGATGGAAGAAAGGGACAAAAATAACATTTCCTGAAAAGGGTAATGAGGCTCCACATATAATTCCTGCAGATATTGTCTTCATAATTGATGAGAAACTCCATGATGTATTCACAAGAGACGGTAATGATCTGGTTATGACTCAGAAGATTACTTTGGCTGAAGCCTTGACAGAATGTACTGTTAATATAACAGCATTAGATGGTCGGAACCTGACAGTACCGGTAAACAACGTCATCTACCCTGGCTATGAGGAGGTTGTTCCCAGAGAGGGAATGCCGATTCCGAAGGATTCTTCCAAGAAGGGAAATCTTAGGATCAAATTTAGCATCAAATTCCCCACGAGGCTGACCTCGGAGCAGAAAGCAGAAATCAAGAGGCTACTAGGTTCTTGAGGAGCAGGCACAACCTCTCTCTCTCTCTCTCTCTCTCTCTCTCTCTCTCTCTTGGCGATGCATTGCTGAGTCCAGTGTATATTCAGATGTTAGCTGTGAATACCAGCAAAGTCTTGGTTTCCTTAAGCTACGCCGGTTCCTTTGGCATCTTGATGTATTGAGATGGAAAGTGAATTGTTCATTTTCGGGAGAATAATTCTACTAGATATTCTGTGTGATCTTGCTGTGACGATGTCCATTATGCACCTAACAAAAGCTAAGATTTTATTTTGCGGGTAACTTTTGTTTGATAGTAAAGAGTAAAGTAAGCTAGCAGTTCTTAAACTTGCTTTGTGGCGTTGTCTCGGTTCTGAAACTAAATGTATGTTTAGGTTATGTATAACTCACATATGACTTGTCTGCATGTTTTCACTTTACTTATACTCTCTCCATTTCAATTTATAGATCGCTTTGATTTTTTTATATATACAACTTTTATTATGTATCTAGGCATATCGTATATCTAAATGCATAGCAAAAGTTATATCGTATATCTAGATGTATAGCAAAAATTATGTATCTATAAAAGACAAACGGTCGTAGATAATTTTTTTTAGATAAAAGGATTCCCCTGCTTTTGTATTTCAAAAAGCACAAACATCCAGTTTCAGTACTGTTCGGCGCTCATGCGCAGTGCATACATTCAGACGCAGACTGATCAAGCTGCCCATTACAAGACTCGACCACAAAGGGATTACTCCTGGCAACTCCTAAGGACTGAGCACCCAATAGAACCAAACTTGATGATGACTCCGTTGAGATTCCACTCGATCTGCGCTGGGTGCCTGGACAACTCCTCCAAATTGACGATGAGGCCTTCCAGCTGCTCTCCAGCTTCCTTCTTGTACAGGATAGCCATCCTGTTATCCTTCTTGCAACCCGAACCAGCACCATCTTCATCCCAAGCCATACCACACCCTGAAAACACAATTCATTCCGTAATTTCCATAGAGACCAAAGCACAGCCGACGAAACGACATTAGTAATCAAATGCTTCTTATTAGCAAGCTAAAACTTTCCTACAGATTCATAATTCCATCCCATCTCTACTGACAACATCTCTGAGATAATTCTCCACACATTCACTGCCACACAGCATTCAAAAAACAGATGAGAAATAGTCTCAATCTCAGAGCAGAAAAGACAGGTAGGATCGCTAACATCTCTTCTTTTCTGCAAAATATCTCTTGTTAAAAGTCTATTCTGAGACAACAACCATAAGAAAAACTGAACTCTTGGTGGCAACACCAGTTTCCAGACAACATGCACAAACCTAGGAAAAATCCCTCTACAATTAATCACAGCATACAGTGATTGCACCGAATATGTACCATGAGAAGAATAGCTCCACAAAATTTGGTCGTCCTCATCAGTGAGGGAGGTACCTTCAATCAAACTACATAACTCCCACCACATACTCATCAAAGCTTCAGACACATTTCTTCTAAACGAGAGCTTAAGCTCCTGACCGTCCCAAACTTGACTAACTGTCTTACCGTGCTGCTCGTTAATAACATACAGAGGCCAAAAAACAATTGTCAGGCTTGTATTACCCAGCCATTGGTCCTCCCAAAATCCGACCTTCTCTCCATTACCAACCACCCACTTGACTCCCATATGGGCTGCTTGAGCTGCCCAGAGGACCCCTTTCCAAAAAGGGGAAGAACCTAGCTCCGGGCAACAAAAAATGTTAGAATTTTTAGTCTTGTACTTATAATCTACTATGCTAACTCAAACGGCATTCTTATTCAACTGGTGTCTAAAGATCCAGGAGGTTAGCAGGGCAAGGTTAAGGCTTCTGTGGTGGGTACGACCCCGGATACCCACAGCAGACAACATGGGCTGCGCCCCCAGGGGTGGCCCAGCCCACAAGACGAAGCCTTGCGGGGCACGACTCTGCTCGGCGCCTCCCGCAAGACACCGAGAAGATATCCTGAAGATACTACGAGATCTATTAGGATGCGTATGATCCCAAGATTCCTGTAATCTGTTATTACTTCCCGGTTATCTCTCAGATCTAACCGACTTGTAACCCTGCCCCCCGGACTATATAAGGTGGGCAGGGACCCCCTCCAAACTCACGCAATATCATACGATAGCTAATACAAACCAACATACCACAGGAGTAGGGTATTTCGTCATATTGACGGCCTGAACCTGTCTAACTCGTGTGTCTCTGTTGCCTTGTTGTTCTTGATCACACACTTTTCTGCCGATCAATCTACCTTCGTTGGATACCCCTTGGAGGACTGCCGACGATATTCTGTCGACAGTTGGCGCGCCAGGTAGGGGTGTGCGTGTTGTTTCCTTGTCGAACAAGATGGCTTTTTCCGCAGGCTCTTCGTCCCTCCCGTAGCCCGGCCAGATCTTCACGATCGGATCCATCTCGTGGATCATCAACGCTGACGGAGTCGGAGAGCTCCTCGAGCCGATGTAGATCAATTCTGCGCCGATCACCCCCGCACCTGCGACTGCAGATCCGATCTCGGAACCGCCTCCGAGGTCACCTTCTTCGATGACTCACCGCCCGCTTCCTCGCTACCAGAGGAGGCAGATCAACAATGATGATCTGATCGCATCCATCGATCGGGTTAGTCTGAAGCTCGCCGATTGCCTCTCCATCGCCCAATCGGCTCTGGACACTCTAGTTCAGCGCCGACCACCCTCCAATCCAGATCTATCGGAGGCTGCTCGGGAAACTCCAAGGGTTACGGCCCTACCCTTCGGGTTCACCAACACCGCCGCCGCTTACCAAGATGCCCTAAGGGGTAGATTCGCTGACCAGGTTGGAGATGTCCATCCTCCCGCCGACCAGATCGCCGACCAGCCTCCGCCGGCCGTCAACATGCTCCACGTCGGCCGACGCTCCGGAGCGTCCCTCCAGACCATCCCGGAGGAGAATCCGGACTCCGAGTCCTAGGGCTCTACGGAGATCGTCGCCGAAACGACCACCGAACTACTTCTTCCCCCTCCATTCCGTGGCGGCGCAATCTTCAACGTCAGCATCGACAGCCCCCCTCGGAACGGCAAAACCAAGGAGGAACGCGCCACCCACGAGAACCGGAACGTCAACTGCACACAGCGCCGAGCAAACGAGATTGTCCTTGCGAGGGCCGAGCAGCAGCTTGACTCGCAAGGAAGACCACTCCAACGCAACCTTGACGACGAGTTTGTCCGTGTTGACGGCCACGACGTCTACAAGACCCCAAGCGCCAACCTGGCCATGGCTGCCAACGAGCTTGCCTGGCTCCCGTAGACACCGGAGGTCGCCAAGGTCGCCGTAATGCTTAAAGCGGCACATTGCCAGGTCAATGAGATCTGCCAGGATCAGAGACCTTCTTACTCCACAACCTCGATTCGCCGATCAGTCGCCACAAGATCTGATCGCCGCCCAAGTCGCTTCACCGACCAGCACCACGACGACAAGCAACCCCTCTAGGGCGGAGCTAGGGGCAACCGCATTGAACATTACCGCCAACCCGACCAGGAGGTCGACCAAGACGTCTGAGTGCACCTCAACAATCTCTGAGATGCACAACGACGTATCGATGAACGCCGTTTCGGTCTCCATGAAGAAGAAGTACGCCGCCGCTAGGAGTACGAGCAAGAGTACGGTAACCCGGACTCAGCTCTCGAGCCGATCGCCACCGGCAACGCTACAAACGACGGCGCCGACAACCCCGAAGGGCCCCCAGCATTTACGAGGGCACTCCGAACACTTCAGTGGCCCCATGGTTTTAAAATCACCGGGGTCGAGCCCTACGAAGGAAAGATGAATCCAACACAGTGGCTACAGGCTTACGCCACTGCAGTCCACGCCGCGCGGAGGAGACACCAGTGTCATGGCGAATTATCTTCCCACCATGCTCACGCCAGCCGCCATGAGCTGGTTTACAAGCCTTGCCCCGGACTCTATTGAATCCTGGGAAGAGCTAAAAAAAGTCTTCACCGATAATTACATGGCTACGTGTACTCGGCCGGGCACCAAGCACGATCTGAACCGCATCAACCAGAAGTCGTCCGAGCTCTTCCGTAGCTACATCCGACGCTTTTTCAAGATGAGGAATTCTATTCCCAACATCACGGAAGCTGAGGTCATCACCGCCTTCATCCGAGGACTCCACCACCGCGAGCTTCGCTCCAAGTTCAACCACAAGCCGCCTACAGGGATTAGCGAGATGATCATGACCGCCAACCAGTACGCCGACGCCGAGGAAGCCGAGGTGCGCTCCAACGAGGATGCAGGCACTCATCACCTAAGAAGCCGCTACAACGACCACCCCGATGACCGATGCTACAGCGACCGTTGCTACGACGACCACAGTTACCATCGTGACAGCGGCTATGATCGGCCAGAATGACCCAAGTTTGGCCAAAATCGCCGTCGCCGACCAGACCACATCGTCGCCACAGTCAATGAACCTCGCGCCAAGCGCAACTACGATGAGCAATACAAAAAGATCCTCGACGGCCCGTGCCCTCTCCACAAGAATGTCAGACATAAGATGAAGGACTGCCTTGGCTTGGCTAAGGAGTTCTAGGACAAAAAGCTGACGACGACACCAACGATGGAGCCGAGGCCACCGACCACCTAGGGGCAATAACAATGCCTTCTAGGACCACGACAAGGTGGTCGCCACCATCTTTGGGGGCCTCGTCTCAACCGAGAGCAGAAGAGAATGGAAGCTCGCCGCCCGGCGGGTGCTCGTCGTCACTACGGAAGACGCCGCCACCAACCCCAGCTATCACCCATGGTCCGAGGTCCCCATCACCTTCAGTAGGGCCGACCAGTGGGTGGACATCCCCTACATAGGGCGTTTCCCCTCGTCCTCGATGCAACTGTCCAGAAGGTGCTTTTCAGAAAAGTGCTCATCGACGGTGGGAGCGCTTTGAATCTCCTCTTCGCCAGAGCCCTAAAGGAGTTGGGCCTCGGGATAACAAATCTCACACTCTCACACTCC